GTTAAATAACATTTTGGCAAAGTGGAATATTGGTGAAAATATAAAAATTCGGAAATAATTATAATAATAATATTGTGTTTGCAGTAACATTAATAAGAAATATTTGTATAGTAGAAATTAGTAATAAATATATAGAAAAACAATGGTATTTCTTCAAAAAACCCACAGAAAAATCAAAATTGAAAGTTTTATGGCGTATGCGCATATAATTGATTAAGTAAACGTACGGACAACAGCACACAAGTATTTTTGCCTTAGTACGAATCGACTCAGGCACGGATCTATTCAAAACATCATAGCATAGCACATACATATTCATAATGTAGTCTTACGTACACTAGTGTACGCATTTAAGTAAATGCTCTCGTTTCAGTTATTTTACTCTCTCTTACGATCTTTAATATCGTTTGTTTTTATCGCAAGCCTTGGGCGGACACTTAATAATTTTGCTATGCAAATTGTCTCTAGCAAGCTTGCGGCAGTCAGCTGGTAATTTCAAAGAAATTTCTCTCCGAGAAAACTAAGGGTTTAATTTGCATACATCTATATATATATGTACATACATATACACATACTAGAGGTAAGTTCCCTTGATAAACCATAAACTTTTTTCAGATGTAAAAATTTGCTTATATACATTCAACATGTTGGAGTGTAGCCATTTCATACAGAAAAAATTTAAAATTTTATTTTGCTAAGCCCAAGGCTATTTGACCTGCATCCATTCGGGTTATAGGAAATTTTTATGAAAAATGACTGTAATGGTCTTATATCATGTCTAGCTTTTTATAAAAATGTCCCACTACTTGCGTGCCGTGGATATACCAACTAAGGGTTTATAGTGTTTTATATGTAGTTTATTCTATTTATGGTTTTTTCGCAGCATTTCGAGAGTCTTCTTTCAAACACCAAAGAAGTGATAGTTTAAAAAAGTTATGTCAGTCGCCGCTATTTCAATTTGTTGATACTGCTACCATCTACTCTACCCGCCTGTTAACCCGAATCTCATTTCACCCCCATATGCAACGAAGGTCGAGAAAATCAAGACCAAAACATTTGATACTATGGTCATATTATGGATCCTTAAAAAATCTGCTCCTCCAGTTTACAATTGCGATTAAAAATATATTTTGCGAATGTCAGAATTTTCGCCAACTACTCGAAAACTCGTTTTTAGGGCATTTCACCCCTTGAACATCTTTAATAGTACGTGAGGAACATAATCTCAATAAAATATATAATAGAGCATTAAATCGGGATGAGATACGTTACTCGACCAGATCCATCACTCAAGGAGATGAAATGCATCTCGGTAAGATGGAAGGCATTGACTCGAAGAGGTTTTTTTTCAATATTCATTTGAATGGTGTTAAATTACAAAGAAATGGTGTTACCACCGTTGACATCAAAATTTTCTTTTTTGGCCATCTGTTCTCAAATCTTATAATTTTTCATCGAATAAAAAAATTATAAAACCCATACCTAATAAAAGAGGTTAAAAAATGGAATAAATAATTATTATGATCTGGAAAGAATACAAAAAAATCAATTTATTTTCGCGATTATAATTGTATTTCATCATCATTTCTTCGCGAATGTTTCAATTAATATAATATGTAAACAGCTACCTATTTACATACGGGTGTCTCTTACGCATACAAGCATGACTAAAAATTAAGTTACAAAAGGAATTGAGTTATATTGAAAAATATATTGAATCGGAGAAGTATGCCGTCAAAGATAAATATTTCACTTTTTCATTGCCGTCTATTTTTATCATTTGGTTTCTGTTATCTTTCGCAGTTTCGTGTATGTGTGTGTGTGTGTGTGCGTCATTTGAGTGGATATATCGTTGGAACTGAATGAATGAATTCTTCAAGGTTACCTATCCCTTGATACCAAATTAAGAAGAACGTTTTTATTCTTTAAACAAATAAAAATATTATAGTGGATCGCGATCCACCATTAAACCACTTCGCTTAATTATTCATATAGCGACTTTTCAAAATAAGTTATAATGTGTGAAAGGGTCGAGAAAGTGGTCCGATGTGAACCATTTTCAATAGCGTGCGCTGTCTTCTTCCAAATACATCAATGCACCAAATTGCTTAAAAATGCCTAGAAAATTGCGACCTCTAGGTTGAACACAGGATAACAAGACGGACAAACGGAGAGGCGAGCTTAAATCAACTCAGAAGGTGCTTCTTAATTGATCGGTACAATAAAAGATCGATTTATCTCAATCTCTTCGAGGTGTTATTTACATCCGCACAAACTTAACACAACCTTGTACCATGATTTTTTTTGTGAAAAGATAACTTTAAAAAATGGTGTTTTATTAAGTGTACAAATAAATTCTTTCTGCTAAAATGTGTTGTACTATAAAACGTACTTGACGCATTCAGTTAAGATATTGATGTTGGAATGGTGTAAGTCTCCAGCAAAAGCAACCCGGAAAATGATTTTCAATTTAAACTGGTGAGTTTTACCGCACCAGCTATATTCTCTAAATCTGGCTTCTTCCAATTACCGTTACTGCTAATCTACAATTCACGAAGTTTGAAGATGTGCGAAAATGGATCGATGACCATTCCGCCTCCAAACCCGTAAGAATCCATCGCAAGGGCATCCACATGTTACCCGATAAATGGAAACACACCGTAGATAATGGTGGTGTATATTTCGATTATTAAACTTTGGAACAAGTGTATTTGAATTTTATGAAACAAACAGCAAGAACTTATTTGTATGTCTTTAAAAACATGTTCTTCATTTAATTTAATTTCAATCGATTTAGAAAAAATACGCTTTTCATATATTAAATTTCAACCTGGTCGGCCAAATGATTACAACAAAATTGTAAACTTTTGTAAACCGAGCAATTTCTTAACACCATTGATATAAATCCATGGCGTCACGATGAGAAGCTTTTGAATACAATTTTACATTGTTTGTAAACTAATTTCAAAAATTTGAAAATAAATATAACGGTATTATAATAGCGGCAAGCAATATAACAACAATCGAATATGTTAGCAAATAATGATTTAAAAAGAACGAACGCACACGTTTTTGATTCAGAAAGTGAAAACAAACGAGATTATCATTCAAATCCTTACACAATACTGAATTAAGGAAAAAAATATCCAGATTATACTAGCACGAAAAGATAAAGTCTAAATAACTGAATAAAAACCGTGACATATGACGATCGTTTGCAAAGCGAACTTAAAAGCAAGCATACCCTCCTCCCTCTCTCAAAAGAGGATAAATTAATTGGATATAATCTATGCTCTTAGAGGGGAAATACTCCCTTGAGAAAAGGTCCACAATAAAATTTAATAATTAATTACCTCCTTAGCTTATGTGTTTTGATTAAAAACAACGTTTTCAACAATAAGGCAACAGTCTCATTTTTTACTCTGAGTTATTGCAAACCAAGATATTTTATAACACCTCAGAATTTTAGATATTGAAAGCTGTGTTGCATACTAAATCACGATTGTTTTATTTACTTATATGTTTGAATTTAATCTATAATTAAATGTTAATATTTTATATGCAGTTCTAAGGCATTCAAAGTTAGCCGCCATCACATCCATCGAGTAATTTATCCATTAGCTGGAAAGTAATGAAATTTCATTAGGCGTTAGTTTCTTGAGTAAACGAAGTTAACCGTCATGAATTATTAGTAAAAATCTATCAAGTGAAAGAATTTCAATATTACACAACAATAAAAACAAAACAAGAAAGTCAAATCCGTCGGAGAAATTATTTATTGTCCACATTAGCTCAACAAAATATGTGCAAATTATTTCGCCAATTATGGGCGTGCCAATGAACTACCTTCATTTTTAAACTTGTACCTTGATTACCAAGTAAGTCTACACTCATACATATCAAATTTCAATTATCTAGCAAATTGTTCTTGATTTTCTTGCTAATGAACAATCTATACATATTTTGTAATCTGATTGGTCTTCCTGGGTTTTACAAACGTAATGCGCTGCAACTCTCTGTGACTGAGCCGTATGCATCGAACTGTTCGCCGAGAGGTACATATGTATGTGTTTAGCTGACAACGACAGATCGAATTTGGAATTTGAAAATATTATTCGCCCGCTACTATGCCTACAATAGCTAAATAAATGTAATTTACAATATATGTAGAATACATTGAACTAAAATTAAGCTCAAATACAAAATTCGTTGCAATTGGCAAAAGAAAAGTACCAGAATCAACAAAACTGATCTCATAATTGTTATTCTTACCACCAGAGGATGGATGTTAATCCTTGATGGTATGTTAATTCTTTGATCTGTCTACTAGGACATAAGTATTCGGAAATCGTATCATATATTGTTGATTAGTTGAGGTTTTGAGCCGATTTGACCATGTTTATCCAACTCTCGCAGTCGTCTGTTGTTACAATTCTTCAAAATTTGGAAGAGAGCACTGAAACGTTAAAAATATGTTGTTGGCTTAAGTTCCCATATCAGGCTTAACACTCGATTTGCGCATTCACAAATAAGCTTAAATTTAGTATGAGGAGCGCAAATGCTCGTATATAGTATTATTACCCTTTGCCCATTATGGGTGCGTACGAGAAATGCTTTACCATTTTCACTACTTAACAAGTTAACTTGAAACATGATGTTGATAAAAAATGTATTCATGGGATCTTTGCATTTAACGAACGGAACGGCAAGACTAGGGCAACGCCAACCTCTCAACGGTAAGCACAGAAATCTCATTTCTAACTAAAAATCGATAATGATTGTTTGTCGTTGCAAAAATATATGTTTCTAAAGGTGGCTTGGTAATAATGATATAATACATCCTAACTATAACGAATTAATTACAAAATAATAAAGCAAAGAACAAAAATTTAATATAATATATAACATATTTATATATATTTTTGATTTTCACTCTTTTTTTATAAATTATATTCAATTAGAAAAGAATATCAAGATTAAAAGGAAAAAACTCTACTTACCATTATGTTCTGTGAATATATTCATTCCAATGGGATTACAGCGATTATCTTTGGCCGAATGACCAGTGGTTGCACATCCCGCTACTGAACTGACGCCGGAGCGATGCAATCCGCCCGTAACAGTAGCCGGAGGACCGGACGATTTAATCCGGGAACCACGCAATGTGGAGCCGGCACCTAACGTATTGACGCCACTTGCACCAATGCCATGACTACCAACCGGGCTACTACTTGACACACCAATACAACTGGCTGTGCCACCATGGCCTCCGCTCGAATGAGAACCACGTTCTTTGCCTTGTTGGGCGCCCATTTTCTTTAAAGAGTCAAAGCCAAAAAAATGGAACGCTCAGTCACACGCACGTATGTACGCACAGGCACACACACACGCACGCACTTATAACCCAGACGCCTGCACGGTTACCACAAAGTTAAATAATAGAGAGACGTTTTCAAAAGTAATACCAAGTAAATTTCGAAAAAGAACAACACCAGTATTAGATAACGTGGTGGTAGGTGGTTGTTAGTGGCTTTCTATTAATATTTTGTATTTTATAAAAGGAAAAAAGGGAGAACTTTTTTATCATTTTAAATTATTCATATATATACGCATAAGCATTCATATACATATATATTTTCAATATATACATATATATATATTTATATATATACATTTATATATATGCATTTATATATATACATATATATATATTATATATATATTCTTTATCTTTTTCTGTATTCGCTTACATGCCCGTTTTCCTCGTTCCTAATACTCGGCTTATAAAAACATAAAACACTTTACAAGTTGCACAAAGATTTCTGTTTTCTGTTTTAGCAGACGTTACGGATTTTTCTCACATTTCCTTTCCCAAGTTATTCGCTTTTTGTGCAGTAGTATACACCGAATTAAGTATAAAAGTTTATAATAGAATGGAAATGAAGTCGTTAAAAAACAAAAATTGGTTGCGGCACTCTTCTTGTATTTTCAAAACTTTTTAGTTAAATTATAGGATTTTACATTATTTCCTCTAAATAACACGCAAACACGCCCTAAAAAATACTACATCAATTAATAGACCGATTAAGTGACTGACTGGCTGGCTGATTACTCGGTTTGCTAACAGAATGCTACGGCTTTGCTCTGTTTTACTTGCACTTCAATGTCTGCACATTCTCAAGTGTCGCTCACAGGCATTTATTTCCTCCTTTTTTATCACTTGAGTTAGTTTCTTTAATATTTTCTTTTAAACATTAATTGTTTACTTTCACTTTTTTTTTGAGTATAATTAACATTTTTCTTTTCATAATTTCGTTTATTTACGTGCTCAATACTTCTACTTTTTTATTCCGAATTTTTGTTTCCTCAATTTTTTCCCCAATGACAACTTCATACAAATTGTCTGGCGACAATTACTTTAGCATTTGCTTACATTTCTTTGCTTTTATATTTCTTGTTTTTGCATTTAATATATTTATTACGTTTTAGATTTCATTTATTATTACTTTTTTTTAAATAATTTATCATTTTTAGTATTTTATTAAGCAAATTTTGCTGTTGACTAACTAGTTAAGCGCACCTTAATAACACTTCGTGCGCTTTAACAGACATACCGACTGCATTTGGTCGTTTTTTCAATTTTTCCTCTACCTGTAGTTTAATATACACTGTTGCTTATTAAGTAGTACATTGAAGGGAAAATTAATAGACTCTGATACACTACATATGCTTATAATTCTTTTGATTTTTTTTCCCAAGCTCACTAAAGATAAACATTTTTACTTTTACTTCCATTGTCTTCATTTATTTAAAGAAATCGTTAGGTTTTCTATTTACTACATTCATGATGGATGATTCCGTAGAGTTTATGAATTTCTGACCATCGTAGATAACTGTGTGATAAGGCATCAGCTAATCCACTTCTATGGTTAATTTACCACATTTCTTCTTTTCGCTCATATCGTATAAAAATCACATGAATTGTCCCATGAGACGCTTACAAATTATACAACACCAACCAATCCGCCTGAGAGGCCGAGTAGGCAAGAGTCTCGACTTTCAACTCAACGGTCGTGGGTTCAAATCTTAAGTGCGGTAGAGTTTTTAATAAAACCGAAAGTCTTAGATGCTAGCGCCTTAAGACTTTAGTCTTAGAATTTATTCTCTGGCTAAATTTTTAATAATAATAATAATGATAATATACAACACCAAATATACCATCGAGTGTCTTGAATAGCTTCGAATACATACAGAATTATATACATAAATGTATAACTGATACATTTTACATTGTCATTTGTTGCATATAATTTTCATTCAATACACATTCCTAATTTCATTTCTGATATGCCAAAACTCCTTCTTTTCCTTACTTATTTATCCAGCTGTGTGTATTAAGTTTTTATTACATTTGACAGTTCATTTTGTGTGTGATTTGTAATTTTTTTTAGAGATTACTATATCTTTGTTAATAGAATATTTTATAAATTCCATAAATAAGTCAGTGCTTAATTAAAAATAATTTACTAAAAAATTAACTGAAACTAAAAAAGCCATAAAAAATATATTATAAAAACGATCAAAAATAAGTAATTTCTATGTTTAACTACTTTGTTGACTGACTTATTTGAAATAAGTAAAATTATGTACACACAAAAAAAAGATGGAATTATATAGTGCAATATGAAAAAATAGAAAAAAAAATAGTTGCAATATTTTGTGGGTGCTTCGGTTTTAGACAACTTCCGCTGCAAGTTAAGATTTTTTGTTGTTTTATAATACGCTTAATACCTTGCGTTAAAAACAGTCAGACGTCTGGCTATTATTCTATAGAAACACATATGCATATGAACATATGTATATTTTATAAGCATATATATTTCAGTGATATGTAAAAATGAATTTTTAACTATTTATGAAAAAGGTAAACGAAATGGACATAAACTGCATTTATTGCTTATAAATACAAACCCGTTTTATTTTATCATTTTATGTAAGTACTAAGGTGACTTATAAAACATAAAACATATAAATCTGCACTGAATTAAATCTTTGTTATGATAACTTTCATATGTGTTTTGTTAATTTGTATTCTCCTTATTTCTCCCGCTCCCTCCCAATCCTTCTATTTCTCTTTGTCGCCATCTGTCGCTCTCTATGAACGTGTCTTTCACTTCTCTTCTCATTTGATTTTACAATAGAAGGTTTTAATTGTTATGTTTACTTTCATGCTTGTATTTAGAAATTTCGATCATCATGGCGAAATATTGTATAAACCTTGCAATAATCAAACAGAAGTACTTCGAATTTCACAATTGCTTTTTCACTCGATTATAGGTCAAACATATTAAACGTCGATTGCCAAACAAAACCTACAATTTATGATGGCATTTTAACTATTCAACGATATCCATGCAGTACACAAAGTTTAATGGTATATTAAAGATAGGCAAAAAAGTTTAATTTTGATGAATTTTCAAAGAGACAAAACAATATTACCGCTTTCAAAATATTCCTTCCTCTAGCTAGCCAGTCGATACTAATGCCGAAAAATTTCAATTGTTTGCCAATAAGAGTTGACTATAAAGTTCGATATTGGCCTCAACTGTTCCGAAACATTGATGTAAACTTTAAGGTGGCACGGAAAACAATGTTAGATACCAAATTAAACGAGAGAAAAAAGTTTAGGCATCCGAGTTCAGAACATATCAGTTTAAAGCGAAATAGATTTCACATGAAAATGCAAGTTAAATAGAATTGCTAACACTGTATACAGTCGTATATTCAGAATTTTCTCAATAGTCAAGGGTAAGAGTGACAAAAAATGAGTGATTAGAAATAGAGCATATAGTGCATATAGGAACTGTTTTTTTACATTTTACTAAATGTTTTGACTTGGCTTTCGCTTTCAATTTATGTATTTACGCGATACTTTCATTCTCTATATGTAAGCGCGATAAATTGACTAGCAAGTACGTATGTGCAATAAATTACATAAATATAATAAATTGTCTTTATTAAATATTTCTTCACTATGTCTATCATTCTAACTTTTTCCCCTTGGTAGTCAGCTCTCTTTAAAATAATCCCTGCTATCTCTTTATCACTTTAGAACAATATAAAAATCATAAGCTCTGTATTAATATTTGAGTATTATTAGATTTATTTGTATTTCATAATCAAAATGTGGTATGTGCACTTTTGACATTTAAGTTAAATAGAAATAAAATAAATTATTGCTGTTTAAATTATATTTCCAGAAAAAATAATTGTTAGAAGAAATAAAATGACGGATAACATGAGCGTGTTAAATATTAAACAGGAAATACAGGACACATCAGCAGCAACTGCTAATTGTAGTGTTTCTTTAAATGTTTGTTTTAGTCCTTCAACGACAACTAGTACGATTACTAGCACAGAACTAAGCACAGAAAATCCCAGTAATCGTCTTTCGGCTGCCAGAGCAGGTGTTGGTATAAAGTCATCGCCTTCTGCATCACCAGAAAGACAAATGTGTAGTTCTACAACTAATACCACTGTAAATAATAATAATACGGATTATCTTAATGCAGAAGAAGGAAGCACCTTATCTTCTATTAGCGGCAATGGCGGTGTTAGTCAAACCAACAATAATAGCTCATCCATAAGGGATGAGTTAAGACGTTTGTGTTTGGTGTGTGGTGATGTGGCCTCCGGTTTTCATTACGGCGTAGCCAGTTGTGAAGCTTGTAAAGCATTTTTTAAGCGCACAATACAAGGCAATATCGAATACACTTGTCCAGCCAATAATGAATGTGAGATCAATAAAAGACGTCGCAAAGCTTGCCAGGCGTGTCGATTTCAAAAGTGTCTATTAATGGGCATGCTGAAGGTCTCCTATTTAATTTGTTTTAAAATGTATAAAAGAAATAATTTTTGCTTTTTTTAAAGGAAGGGGTACGGTTGGATCGAGTACGTGGTGGCCGTCAAAAGTACCGGCGTAATCCTGTTTCGAATTCATATCAAACCATGCAAATGCTATATCAGTCGAGTATAACATTGAATGATATTAAGATACTCGAGGTGCTTAGTAATTACGAGCCAGATATGTTAAGTTTACAATACCAGAGGCAGCGGCAGCAACAACAACAAACAAGGCTAAATAATAATAACATTTCAACACCGTCTCCCAAAAACAATGAAGAAGTAGAAGAAATCCTTCTTAATTCTACTTGCAATTCACCAAACATTAAACAAGAACAATGCAATTATAATTCCATGAATTGTAGTAACAGTTCTGGAACTACAACCGAAGTAATCGATGCCACACCACCGTCTACACCTACCTCTTCTACAATAATGGGTGGTAGTGGTAGTTCCAATACCTCTTCAAATAATTACTTATTTAAAAGTAACAATAATAATATTGAGTCTTATGATATACTTTATGCACTTAGCGATTTATATGATAAAGAATTGGTATTTATTATAGGTTGGGCCAAACAGTTGCCCGGCTTTACAGATCTACCTCTAAATGATCAAATGAAATTATTACAAATTTCATGGGCGGAAATTTTAACTCTGCAATTACTTTACCGTTCCTTGCCTTTCAATGGTAAATTGTACTTTGCTACGGATGTTTGGATGGATGAACAACTAGCCAAAGAATGTGGTTACACGGAATTCTATTATCATTGCGTATTGGTGGCACAGCGCTTGGAGCGCATTGCACCTCGACGTGAAGAGTACTTTTTACTAAAGGCCTTAATATTGGCCAATTGTGATATATTGTTGGACGATCAAAGTGCTTTACGTAGATTTCGTGATTCCATACTAAATTCTTTGAATGATGTAGTCTGTTTATTGCATCATAGTTCAGCGGTAACGCACCAGCAACAGCTGTTATTGCTTTTGCCCTCATTACGTCAAGCTGATGTGATTTTAAGACGTTTTTGGCGTTGCGTACATAACGATGGTTCAACACCCATAAAAAAATTATTTATCGAAATGTTGGAAACAGTTGGACGGTGAGATTTTGATAAGTGATACTATTAAAAGGAAGCATTTTCTTTTTTATACCAACATAAAGCCAACCTTTTTTTGCACATAAATATTCGTTAGACACTTCCTCAAGAGGTTCTATTGTAATAATTCAAATTCATATTGGTCATATCCGATTGTTGTTTCGTCTCTTATCTACATATAATTTTAGTTTAATTTTGACTAATCGCCAAAAACGCTTGTTTGGGAAATGTGGAAAAAACCTAAAATAAACTAAATTGATAATTATGTTATTCAGTAATTTAAATCCTAGATCAGATATTTGTTTGTAATTTTGTAAAGATTTGATAGTCCTAATCGAAACGGTTGTGCACTTGTAACGAACAAAAATTTCTGCGGTATTTACCATTTTGGGGGAAAATCAAACTAGTTTCAAAAGAAAACCTTCAAAAATCTGTTGTAGGCGTTCCGGAACAATTCAGTGACCAATACTGAATCTATACCCAACTTCTGTAATCGTAGAAATTCACAAAATCGATATCAGTAGCAATCACAGGGGAAAATTGTGGAAATTGAAATCTCTGTAAAGAAATTCATATGATTGATGTGTTTCGAGGTTTTCCTAAGCACTCTGAGGTAATATTTGCTTGTTTAAATATATCCTTTCTTATTTTATTTCAAAATTTAAACATTGAAAGACAATGAAAGAAAGGAAATAGCACAAAGGAATGTGCAAATTCGGTTTAAACTGATTGTAATTTCTCTGTTTTTTTATATTCAAAATGAACGACCGAATACTTTCAATATCGTATTTTAGGTTTGCTTATTTCATAGGGACAATGAAAAGTTAGCATATCATCAGGATTTTTGGGAATTAGGGAAAAACAAAAAAAATTGTAATTATTAATATTAACATTATTTTATTTTTTTTTTGTGGTTTCAATTGCTCAAGCGCCTATTTCTTTAAACATGAAAGCGAAATTAAAACTAAAGACTTGTGAAGAGAACAAATTTAATAGCTGCTGAATTATACTTCATTTTACACTTTATATTAACATTCTGTGTTTATTTTTTCTTATGTTACAATTATTTATCTGTTATTAAACTTATAAGGATTTCACGCGTGTTATAGGTAACAGACGTTTTGTTGTTGTTAATTTCTTTAAGGATATTTTTATGGCTTTTAAAATATTTATTAAAATCATTGCAAAAAGAAAAACGAAAATAATCAAAATGAATAACTATTATTTTTATACATACGTACATATATTATGTATTTAATGTAAATAGTATTAACCTAAAAAGCAATACACCCATGTCCATGCGGAACTATATGTACAAGTGAAATAAAATTTTTTATGTAAAAATTGAAACTAAATTGAATAAAATTTGGCAAAACCGCTTCAACATAAACATTACATTTGAAGTTTATTAATGCGATCACTGTAATTATGCTTTGCATATAAATGGAAAAATAAGTACCGGCACCTTCCTTGTGAATGAAAATATCGCAGACACATAAAATGATATGCATTCGAATAGAATTTCAAATTGAAATTCACACAGTTATAAGTAATTGCACGATTTAGTTATGTTACTTTTTTAAGACCAAGATGTTAATGGGTTTTAATTCGCACTTGATTACTTTACAAGGATTCAATATTGACCACTCATCAATATGAAGAGTTTTACTGAATAATTTACGTTTGAACTTACGCCCATATTTCCTAAAAAGTTACGCATGAGCGCTACGTTTATAGACGTGTTGAATGAACGGAATTTGTAGCCAAAAAAATATAAAGTTGTACATACTCAATAACCCCTGTGTCTTGGCGTCCTATATATAGAAACTTTTGCTATAGGAAGAAAATAAGCGAATAAAGTCAAATCATGATTGAAGCCTGTAACAAATTTTATCCCAAGCTTTTCCTATCTCTTTGTGTTTTAATCAATACATCTAAATACGCTGTATGACCATGCGTTTCTTAGAACTACGAAATAAAATGATCTGATTAGTTATATAAAATTTTTATTCGATAAAAACGTATCAACAAAATTTAATACAAAAAACACATTCTTTTACTCTTCTTATATAAAACTAATAAATTGATTTTTACTTTAAAGTTGTCTATATGTGTAGAAAATAATATGCTTACATAATCTAATCCTTAACTCATCTAACTATTTACAATATTACAGACTAGATTTATCTTGCGGCGGAGAAAGAAATAACAAATGAACAAACAACCTCTATAATCTCTTAATATTTTCTATAGGATACAATTTTCTTATTTTCTAGCAAATGAATTTACATCTAGCACTAATCGTTCCCAGGATCAAAATTAAAACGGGATCTTTGACTACGTTGCATGTCACGAGATTCGAAGAATTTTTTCGAGTTTGCAGCATTACGATCTGAACGTTCGAGTTCTGTTCGAAAATAGTCTATAGTTCGTATAAGTCCTGTTTTTAGAGGTACTTTTGGTTCCCAGTTAAGATATTTTAATGCTCTAGTTATGTCAGGCTTACGTCTTTGTGGGTCGTCTTCCATTGCTTCCGTTTGTTTCACTTCGCTTTGTCCGCCCACCAAATCTTTAATTATAACAGCGAATTCTTCGATGGTGTGCTCAACAGGATTACCTAAATTAATGGGTTGTGTATAATTGGAATTCATCAAGGCGATTAAACCGTCCACCAGATCCGAGACATATTGAAAAGCTCTAGTTTGCTTTCCATTACCGTAAACTGTTATGGTTTCATTGCGTAATGCCTGCAAAATGAAATTCGAGACAACTCGTCCATCATTCATATGCATGCGCGGACCATAAGTATTGAATATACGTGCCACTCTCACTTGCACTTTTTCCTAGAAAATAGCAATTAATATAAGCGGACGAGTAAGCAGCAATTAAATTACTATTTTTCGACGCGTCAGAAACTTTAAATTTATACTTAAGTGATTCAAAATAATGGAAAGTTTTGAAAGATTTAACTGATTTCTTTAGTATAATATTTATATTTACCTGTTTGGCATAAGCGTAACTCAGCGTCTCCGAAACACGTTTACCTTCATCGTAACAGGCTCTCGGCCCTATAGGATTAACATGACCCCAATAGGTTTCAGGTTGGGGATGCACCTTTGGATCCCCATATACCTCTGATGTGCTCGCAATCAGGACTTTTGCCATTACACGTTTAGCTAAGCCCAATACATTAATCGTTCCCATTGTGTTGGTTTTAATTGTTTTCACTGGATTGAACATATAATGCGGCGGACTGGCCGGAGAAGCTAAATGATAAATTTCATCGACTTCTATAAATAAAGGATTGACAATATCATGATGTATTAGCTCAAAATTCTCATGACCCAACCAGTGCGCCACATTACGTTTACGGCCTGTGAAAAAATTATCCACGACAATGATTTCATGGCCGGCCATCATTAGAACATCCACTAAATGCGAGCCAACAAATCCTGCACCGCCAGTTATTAAAATTCGTTTGCGATTTTTATAATTTTGATATTGCACTTTAGGATATTTTCGCGGTGTACGCGCTTGCATAGCACGCAAATCTTCTTCCAGCCTGGCCAGTTGTTCATGTGTCTTTTGTAATTCCAATCGTTGCTGCTGCAATACCTTCTGCTGTTGCATATAGTTTGCTAATAAATCTTGCTTCAATGCACTGGAAATAATCGTGGATTTGCGATCTTCACTGGATGATAAAAACTTGCAACAAACTGAAGTTTTGTAAAGAATAATAATTAATATCAGTAGAACAACACCAATGGCAATTAATTTCGAACGTTTTTTAGTAATACTAATGGTCCACATTCTCAGCACCTGAACAGAAAAGTTGACGGCCTTAATAACGTTCAACGTCGAATGCGGAAATTCTTGCCCAACAATATATCGAACTTGATGCGTATGTTGCTTTGGTCTATCAGGTGTACCATGGAACCTGTTTAAATTTTCATTTATTTTAAACAATTTTAGTTATTTTATATGCAAATAGATACTTTAATGTAATTATTATTATTGTTGTTGTGAAGAACAAGCACATAAACAGTTGATAGCAGTGTTGTCAAGTTTACGGTTAAAAGGCAGGCACTGCTTTAAAAACAAAAACAAAAACAGAAGCAAAGAGACATCTGTTTGCTGTAAGGTTTTTGAGAATAGGAAAAATTGTAATAATATAAAATTATCTTCGATTATCATATTTTGCAATTTCGCTTCAGATATTAGAAAAAATATAATGAAAATTTAATAAATTATTTAATCTCAATTGAAAACAGCAAAAGATATTGAATAAAATTAGAAACGTTGCTTAATTACTTTGGTTAATAGGCAAAGTTGATTAAAAAATGGCTTGAATTTTAATAAGAATAAAGTGCTTTCTTTTCGGTGGAAGATAGAAGAAAAGAAAGAACGAAAGGTGATGTAAAAAATATATCTACCTATATATAAAAAAGTAAAAGGGGAAAGGCGAAGAAAAAGAATACTCATCACTATAAACTGCTAACACGTATGGCTTTCCAAATAACCAACGAATCAACCGTTGTATATAAATAAATCACAACCTATAAACTGCAATTGTGATATGTAAGACGCAGACGAAGAAAATGTATTGTTTACAATGTCTATTACCGGTGCTTTTGCTGCCAAAACCTACAAATCCAGCTCTGATGGAAACTCACGTTATGTTTATCGTTTTGTATTTAATCGGTTTCTTCTTGGAACGCAAACCGTGCACCATATGCAGTTTAGTATTCTTAACAGCGGTATTCCTTATATGCTATAGCGGCGTTGGCAATTGCATTTTCTGGGGTAATTGTGACGGTCATCAATGCGAAAATGGATAAGAGAATCAGCCAATTAAGATATATTTTAAAATCTAAAAATAAAAAAAGCCAAAGTTAACTGTTCATCATGGATATACTGAAGCGAAATTAAAAGTAATAAGGTAAACTATTATTCATTTTACTTTTTTAGATTTATATAATTTGTAAACTTTTAACTTAACTCTTTGTAATGAGATTAATGTTACAATTTACGCATCTCAATCCATAAAGTTTTGCTTCTGCAGATAAGTGGATAATATTAACTGAGATTGAGTCATCTATCCCTACACTTAGCTACAAGGATAGAAAAAAGTTTGACAAAAGAAAACATGGAAGAGAACATGGAAAATATATTCACCTCAAACTGCAACTTTTGACATTCACTTACCTTTTTCTTATTGTGTGCAAATGTAGTAAACCATTGTGTCTTTTTGGAAACTGTTATTGTGAGGCGTATTTTTATTGTATACTTCATAGGTTGCCATGAAAAAATTTGCAAAGTAAGACAGCACTTAATTTTATGGCTTGATATGAATAAATATTCAAAAACTCAGGAAAAGATTTTATCTACAGAATTTAATATTTTTAGCAGTTTCTGCTTTAGAATATGAAGCGATTACGACACCTGAGATGCTCAAGTGCTTTAACGTCCGAAACTCATCTACGAATTTTAGAGGATTCTTATGCTACTCTTAGAAATATATTCAGATATGATGAATTAATTTAAATAACTTAATAACTTGGAGTGAATTGCTTTAAAAAATTCAAAATTTGAGAGGATTGCATTTTTTTTCAATTTTTCAGCCAAGAATCGAAAAAGAAAATTATTTGTTTCAAATAATTCGCATGGTTAATATGTATATAAAAGAACAAAAATGAGTGATATTAACATGTGTAAGTATGCACAGAGAAGATGAATAGCAATATTTAGAACTTACGAACAAAACTAAATATTTCAAATTATTAACTGAGGATACTTCATATCGCTAATGCTCCTCCAGAGAGTATATGTTTGTTTGGTAGTGATAGATGGTGCAGTGATGACTGGAACTTTCTGTAAAGCGATTAGCTTTAGTTCCGGCTGGTGGTGATTGTGTTCCGAAGCCACTTAAAATCATTTAGATGTTCCTTCGGTCTAAATTGTGTCTAATGTTTTCCAAGCAGTATGTTTTTAAGAAAAAAGGCTTTTGATTACAAATTAATAAAGTCGTAGCGTAATTGTAAAATTAAATACCAATCAGTGATGACGATGCGCCAGAGCAAAGTACGAATTTACTTAAGGGTATTCTTGTGAGAAATTTTTAATATTGTATGAACTTTATTAAATATATAATATTTGTTAACATTTTCTAAAAACTCAAACTTTGTTATTACTAAAGAGCTTGTAGTAGATAAGTGATGTTACAAGTTTTTTATTAAGATTGAATTTATGAAAGATGATATACAGATACCACATAGTATGTAACGTGTTATAAATATGGTACACATATAGCAAATGTATATTTATGAAGACAATTTATATGTATATATACAATACATTTATATATAAACCGCATTTTTCTATTGTCTTTGTTTATTAGTTTTGCCATTCCTCCGAAACTTATTTGAAGTAAGGTTCAAAGTGTTTCGTAACGCCACGGTATAATTTAAAACGTTGCTGAAAGCAAAAATTCGATTTGAAAAAACACCTCTAATTGTATACATATAATTCCAATTTAATTTAAAAACTGATCTATTTGTTTTTCTTGTATATATGCGAATAGAATTGTTTTCAATTATCGTGCGACTAACATTTTTTATTTCGCAAACGATAATAAGAGCTTATATAATACAGTAAGTTTTATCTATTTGATATGTCTTATCAACCCGCGGGCTTATAATCAGGTAAAATTATGGCTGGTACTCGCAAGTCATTTATATCCAAAGAAAACATTTCATTGTGTTAAAATGTTTTTGGAATTATTCTTTGTATAATGCATTATGCCTTTATTTGTTTACGTTCTTAGCTTTAAAAATAAAAAATTATAACACGTTGAGTAAACCTAAATAAATAGAAACTTAACTAATAAAGTTGTCCCACTTTAGTCGTCAACAAGCGTTGATTTATATGACATCAATAAGAACGTATTGTCTAAAGCAACTCAAAAGAACAAGATCTTTATAATAAAATTTCTCAAATAATTTCCGTCATATATGCGCGCTTCTTCATATTGCTCTGTTTTTGGCGAGAGAAGATGCATCTAAAAAATGCTATTGTCAAAATATATCCTGTGTATCCTGGTTGGCAATGATCACATTTTTAAAAGGCCTGCACTTAATTTAAAAGCAGAATAACACCCATAGACAATTGCTTACAAAAGCAATGCATAGATGCATTATGTACGGTAGTATTAAGAAAATGCCTCCGCTTCCTCTAACAGGTTATATGTTGCTTGGGATGAACCAAGTTCAGCTTGGATTAGCGACAAATAAATTGTGTTTGCGTTGAAAAACAATATCTTAATGAAGTTTATGTTATTTGATGAACCCTTGGAAATTATTAAAAAGGATTTCTATCCACGATTCCGTAATGCTGTAGCGACGGCCAATGGACACTATATTATTAGTTAGTTAGTATCACTGTAATTAGTTTTCATTTAAAAATGGATAATACAACTCTCATCTTTTTTCGGAAAATATTGATTGATTGATAACAATACTCCTTAAATATGTGAGCACGTAGGATTTAATCTCTTGCTTTGATTCTCTCATTATGAAAATCAGCCATTTGAGTTAATAAGTTTGCAGTTTTTTTAAGTTTAATTCTAGAAAACCAAAATTCTTAAAGTATTGAGAAACTTATGAGAATAAATAGAGCTTCTTACAGATTGTATATAGTTGTAATAAGGAAGCCTTATGCAGCTGCAGGTGGTTAATGAAAAGCCTGACAAAAACTTTCGGGAAATTTAAAAGGTAAAAGGATTAAAAATATTAATATGAAATCTGGTATTCTTGATTTGTTTCCAAATGCTTTTTCTTAAAACAAAGCGAGTTGAATCGTGGACCCGTAGATAATCTGTCAATTTGATCAATTGTATACGACTTTCGATACGTTCTTCACAATCCTGGTGCCAGTTTATGCGTACGAGTAGTGAGTCTATGGCAGTTAATAAAGTATGCATTTTTGTTCTTAATCTGCGAGTATTTAGTCATGTTAATTATCTTTTGCTCTGATGCAACCGTAGTCAACATTTTCGGCAGTACTGAGATTGAAACTTGGCACTCGCATTTATAGATCGGTTCTGTATAAATCATGATTAAAATTGAGTGCAATTGTCATTTTATCATATTCAAAAAATTTGAATGCATTTTTATGACAAAATTTAAAATCTATTCGAAATACTAATTTTAGGGTTGTGCCGGAAAGGCACGCCTCAAGCACTTCAATTTTAATAACTCAATTTTTTTGGCCGATTGTACGGCGTGTTGTGCCGCCTTGTCAACGACGTTATTATTAAATTGTCCCAAAAGTAAGTTCAAATATTATGGTGCTTAAAAAAAGTATAGCGCTGTACAGAGTGAGCAGTTACGGTTCCATAATTTTCAAGTCAACAAAACACTATAGCTATTTTATTAAAAAGGCCATTGGCGAAAAGGTCTCCACTGTTTAATCCAGCGTCATTATTTGCCATAAAATTTTCCTTAAGAGGTAATATAATTGGAATACCTTAAAAAAATAAGTTTTCCGGCAACTACTTTTGGATGGAGAGGAAGGTAGCGGAATAATAATATTCAGAAAATATTCACTACACTTGTAGTTAAGCATAAAAAGGAAAAGCTATTGTTTAAAAATATTGAAAATTGGTAACGCCGCAGCTATTCCCTGGAGATGTCTTCAGCGCAAGGGGCTGTGCGGCACGCAATATGCTCGATCCAAATTTGAAAAAAAACAGAAAAAAAGAAAATCCATTAATATACATTTCTATCTCTTTTATCAATCAATCAATATATGAATTAACTTATAGAAAAATGTTCTACATATTTCTTTAAGAAATGTTATTTTAAAGATATTATATTAAGTTCGAATGAAAAAAATTTAAATTATTTGAGTTATGGGTTTCAAGAATTATTTTTCAGTATGAAAAGCTTTCACAAATACTATAACCATATATTTTGACAAAATATGTGTATATATTTTTTATCTTTTTCTATCCGTCTGTAGTCCCAGCAGCGCAAAAATGCTCGCTCATATACAAATATTATTCCTTATTCTTTTTTTCGATGCTTTTTTACCTTAAAGTGTCGGTTTTACAGCATTTGTCAAAGTCAGAATCATATGCTTTACACTTCACGTATTGCGAAATAATAAAGAAAACGGCAAAAATGTATAATTCGGTAGCCGGATACATAATCTACGCTAAAAACTATATAATTTTTTTTTAATTCCTTGGCAGAGGCGCTAAGGCCTTTTGAATTTACGTCCTCATCCTCATACCTGCGCAACGGTGATGAAATTGCACTAACTAACTAACATATTTTTGTAAGCATATGCTTTTAAATTAGCATAAATGTTTTATAGAGAAGGTACGAATCATCAGGTAGCATACTGGAGTGCAACTTCTCGGCTGGAATTCATTTGAAGCAATTGGCCTTTCCGGTGAGCTTCGCGAAAAACGTAGAATTTCAAGTAATTTCTTCAAGATAATGAATCCTCTTTTCGCATATTGTAGAAGATCCCGAGCATCTATCTATTCGGCCAATAAAAAAAGTAATAATTTTCCGAAAATTTACAGTGATGTTAATGGAGGTTGCATTTGTTGCTTGCGTGACGTAATCGTAAAAGGAATAGAACAAGAAGGGATGCCCCAATATAAGTCGAGTTGGAAGTTGGTATTGGGCTAACTTAAAACCAATAGTCGGCCTATGGTCAAATCATATCATATTCTCGAAGCGAATTAATATTCTCTACTTATGAAAGAAGCTAACTTTCCTAATGCCACATATTGGACCACCACATATATATTAAAGCTCAAAATCCAATAGGTTAAGGTTAAAATATTTTCGATCGGAGCACTATGCCAACCGTTTTTTTTTTTACTCTGTTTTGTTTGCATGAAATCTCGCGCATTATAAAGTTATGGCTCTGTTGCTAACTAAAATTCTTTAAAAGTTAAAATCAAGTCATCACTCTACATTTTCTTTTCATAATGTTATTTAGGGATAAATAAATTTTCTTTTTTAATTTCTTAGTTTTAAAAAAATTGTATTTACATTTTTTCTTTGTAACCCTTTCTTTACATTTTCAGACAGGCCTCCACGCTAACATTAAATTATCAAAGGTTATAAAAATAAAAATGTTGCAACTTTTTAAATGTCATCATATTAAGTAATTTATATACTATTGCAATGTTAAGAGGCAAGAAATTGAAAAATTGGAGCTTACCAGCGAGGCGAACCTTTGGTCACAAAATAATTTATAATCACTGAAAAAGATTTACAAGATCCGAGAGAGAATGTGTTTTGTAAATATTACTTAAAAAAATTATTTAATCTATTTAGTATTTAAGCCATTTTTGCATAATTGATTGACAGACTTACATGGACATAACAGACTCACTCTTCTTCAAATTAAATTAGCATAGACTGCGTATTGAATTTATTACAAAAAAAAAAAAAAAAAAAAAAAAAAAAAAAAAAAAAAAAAAAAA